GGGAAAGAGAAGAAATAAAAACTTTTACCTCTTCGTCGTTCCAATCAAACATGACTCAAGAACCAGCAACGAAGCAGAGATCCAAACAAAATCCAAAATTATGCTCCCAGATTACTCCACACATCGCCGAGTCTCCTCCACCAGAGAAAAAAAAAAGCACCCAAACAAGACCAAAAAAAACTCAATCAATATAATTAACAAACAAATGCAACACAAATCCAAACAAAAAATTTGGGAAAGAACAGAAACCCAAATCTCGAAAAAGTATTCCGTAGGAGGAAAAAAAACCTGGATTCAGAATCCTTGCGTTCTCATGGGAAGGGAAAAAAGGAGTTCCAGTGACGGGAACAAGAGTTTTCGAGGTAGAGAGGGGTAGGAGAGAGGAGGTTTCGGGGTCAGGGCAAGTGGAGTGGGCCCCATTTCACGAGACGTCACTTGCCGTCTGATTGGAGGAGAGGAGGAACGGTGGCCGGTTGCGCTGCCACGCAAGACGAAGGCGAATCTAAAGATGTGGCTGAGAGTGTAGCATCTATTGCTGCGACGCTATTGGACAGCCAATTTTTTTTTTATTCATTTGTGCTTGGTGCTTTCAAATTCATCTGAACTTAATTTGAATAATTTCCATTCGTATTTGTTTAGAACATATTTATTAAAAAAATCGCATCATATTTGTTTTCACACGCTATATTTCATTCTTTAAATTTAACTTTTCATTTTAATATTTGATCCCTACTATATTTTTTTCAGATTAATTTCGTAAAGAGAATCTTAGAATTTGTGTTGAAAACTATCCTCTCTACATTGGACCCTAATAGTACAATATAGTAATATACTGACACTTGTGGTCATGTAGTTTAGATATAAAATTAAAGTTTATATTGTTCGTTAATATCGACAACGTAAACAATGATATATATATATAAGGGTAGGGACGAGTGTTGATGGTGCGTACCCGGTTTTTAATTTTGGAATTCAATGTTAGACAACGAAATTTCGTATCTGTAGATATCAATCCTCGAGTTCGTCTAGGGTTAAAGTTTGGATTTGATCGTTCCAACGCCTCGTTTCGTTTCGTCTTGGCTCATCCTCGCGGCTCGCCCTCCTCTAATCTCTTTTTTTCCTTGTATCGTCCCCTCGTTCGCATCATCTCACCTGTAGCATCCAACCCTTGCTTTGCAACGAATTTGTAATGGTTTTACAACATTTTCAAGCATCGGTGAAATGCAACGGATTTTACATTGGAAATTTTCAACCCTTGTTTTGCGTCGCAAATTGTGTTGCAAAACGCTGTGTTTTCTTGTAGTGAAAACCCAAGAAGCTCGGATTCGAGATTGGATACTCGACTCATACCCAACCCTAGAAGAAGACGTAGATGTTTCTCGTGGTATGTATGTCTAAATGCCTCTTTTGAAACAGAGGATGCAACTCACTCTTGTTCTCAAGACAGAAGACGAGTGTTTGTCTGATCTTTTTTCATGCGAATCTCACCAATGATGAGCTTATTATATAGACGAGAGTTGTGCTCTGATACCGTTTTTAGTTACGTAATCCTCGAGAAATAAAAAATCAAACTCTTATGTATGTGTTGTCGAACACCTTTAAAACTATACGAATTCAAATAAAATAGAGGAAAGAATTATAATCAACAAACTAGGTTTATTAATTCACGTCCAAAGAGAATCATTTTGTTCATTGTGCTTGACGATACAACGGTGGAAAATACAATGTGTGTAGGAGTTTAAATAAATAATAAATCCCTATACGTACCCGGTAAGATGACGACTTTAATTTGATCTGATAATCCTGTCTTCAACATATCAAAACACGTATGAAACAGTAGGGAACCGGATATGACTTCAAGGCGTGATACACTTTTCTAAAAGCATTATTTCATCCCTACCGAGTAAATAGGATTACAGGAATATACTTTTGAGATACAATGAAGCGGCAATGATTTCGGTTTACCCTTTCGACAATCATCAAATAGAACCTTGTTTAACCGAAAACAAAAAGACCCTTGCGATAGTTTTTCTGCAGAAAAACTATCCGCAAGAACACTCAAATCGCTCAAAAACGAATGAGATCTCTTCTATATTTTCTATCTCATGTTAGGATGTTCAGGGGTGTTTATAAACACTCCAAAAGCCGAAAGATGCAAAGAAATCAGAAGTTTTTCCCGAACAGTCGCGGTTTTTCACTCATTCAAACTGCTCAGAAAAAACGGGCTGCCCGCCCGTATTTTCAAGCTACCGCCCATTTATTTCTGGGCTATATTCCTCAGAAAAAACATGTTGTCCGCTGAGATCACCTTTCACGTTCAAAACCGAACGTAAACTTTTCCGACAAATCCTTAACACTTAGCCAACTCATGGCACGTCTTTTAAAGAATTTAACTCCTCCACCATACTTGTAATACACGTGAAACATGAATCCTTTTGAGATATTCAAACCAATCAACCGTTTACTCTAAAATACCAACAATCCTCCACCATTTTAGAGTAAACAACAAATGATTGAAACAATCAAGTGTTTTTCAAACAGTTTCTAATTTTGTGCATAAGTGAAAGTGTCGTAACGATTGAACTTCCACGTAGTGAAATATACTTCAATAACTCGAAAGGTGTCAAAAACGATTGAACCTACGTAATCCTGTTGAGCTACTGAGTACATAACATACACAAAATCAATGCAAGTTTCTGTTTACCTTGACACTTTTATATGGTCATGTGTTCATATCTCCTTCATGAATGCACAAATGTCAAACCTTAAAGCATTTTCGAAGCGGCCAAACTTCGCATTCACATAGGTAGATCTTTTAACCAAAATCATGTCGTGCAACTCGACACTTTTTCAAAAGATCTATTAAAGAAAACCTCCAGCCTCTTTACGTTGCAATTCAAAGCACCGACCTTGGGATGTTTTTTATTTGCGTGCTTTCAATCACAAGATAAAAGGTTTAACTCTTTGAACTCAAACTCTAACGTTGTATTAGATGTTGAGTAGAGATCCTTTTATTTGTAGTCAACAATAAGGTTTTATTTCCATCCCTAAACTATTTTGTGCAACATAACATTGACATATTCCATCAACCTTTTCCTTCGCACAAAATAACCGACATACAAACATTTTTCCACATAGCTATGATTTAGCATGTATGTCTTTTCATCATTGTACAATATATACATACCATTTCCAAATATCTTATTCTTTGCGATTAACTTATAGAAACAAAAACTTTCTTTTTTCGAAAGTCTTCAACATTATAGTTTATACCAAACTATAATATATTTTCATTTTTCAAACCGAAAAACGTCTATACAATCGCAATCGAAGAAAGATCTACCGTCGATTTTTCAACCAACAAGACATAAGACAACATAAAGTTTTCTCTTTATGTCCAAAACACCATGTTCGATATATTTCTGATATCTTCAACTTGAACCATTGAAATCTGATATCCACCGATCATAAACATGATCAGTTTTCTATCCACGGATTTAATCCGAGACTTTGAGTACATGTTACAGGTATTTCCGCTTCATTATCACCATGAAGTCATAGATCCTAAATAACGCTTTTAGATTGTAGGAGTTTAAATAAATAATAAATCCTCATACGTACCCGGTAAGACGACGACTTTAATCTGATCTGATAATCCTCTCTTCAACCTATCGAAACACGTATGAAATAGTAGGGAACCGGATATGACTTCAAGGCGTGATACACTTTCCTAAAAACGTTATTCCATCACTACCGGATAAATGGGATTATAGGAATACACTTTTGAGATACAATGAAACGGCAATGATTTCGGTTTACCCTTCCAACAATCATCAAACAGAACTTTGTTTAACCGAAAACAAAAATACCCTTGCGATAATTTTTCTGCATAAAAACTATCCGCAAGAACACTCAAATCTCTCAAAAACAATTAGATCTCTTCTATATTTTCTATCTCATGTTAGGATGTCCATGGGTGTTTATAAACACTCCAAAAGTCGAAAGGTGCAAAGAAATCAGAAGTTTTTCCCGAACGGTCGCGATTTTTCGCTCATTCAAACTGCTCGGAAAAAACGGGCTACCCGCCCGTATTTTCGAGCTACCGTTTATTTATTTCTGAGCTATATTCCTCAAAAAAAATAGGCTGCACGCCCATGTTTTCGAGCTGCCCTCCCATTTTTTCTGAGATCACCTTTCACATTCAAAACTGAACGTAAACTTTTCCGACAAATTCTTAACACTTAGCCAACTCATAGCACGTCTTTTACAAGTATTTAACTCCTCCACCATACTTGTAATACACGTGGAACATGAATCCTTTTGAGAGATTCAAAGCAATCAACCGTTTACTCTAAAATACCAACATGGTGAACATGAAAAGGACATCTGTTTTGCTTTTCACAGTTTTAAAATTTTACCCAGAAACATCAAAGGTGGAAAAAATAAAGCCAAATAAATATCAACGCGTAACTATAAAAGAAAAATATAATAAACGATTAGCGTCAAAGGAAAAATATTGCTAAAATGTTTCGGATTGACGTTTTTTTTGTTGGTGTAGAATTATATAATAATGTTTCTGATGGATATAATAACGATGATGTTGAAAATGTTGGTAGAGTGAGGACTTGATGAAAAGGGCTACATAACAAACATTATTGGGACACAGAAAAGGCATAGCAAGGGAATCAAATCCCACAACCTTATGAGTTTGGCCTTATGTTTCGGGTAGAATCCCTTCACAATTAGTTGGAGAATGGGAAAATAAAAAAGAAAAATAAAATTGAATGATTCCTTGATTTGTTACATATGATCACATTCAGCCCGAGCTATACCTGAAATTTTTAGAGTATCTGAATTTGAATCCGAACTCGATGAATTATGTATGTTAAAATCTGAATCCCAACTCGAGTCTTCAAATACCCGAACTATATTATCCGTGAAACATTTTTTGGATATCCGTGAATATTCGAACACGACGAATTTAAACATATTTTGATTATAAATTCAAAAAATATAAATTACATATAAATAATTTATAAAATCATTGAAAAATATTTATATATAAAATAACTACATCATTAAACAATAGTTTTTTTAATCTAAAAAGGCAAAAAAAATTAGATATTGATAGATATATTTATAATTTTTTAATAACTATTCGGGTATCCACGTACAATTATTTGAGTCAAAAACATTAATCTGAATCTGAACTCGAATTTTAGGTTTTAAACATGTTAAAACTCGATCTCTATATCATTGTAATGTGGATATACAATTATCTCATTGTAAGGTACAACTTGGATACTTTTGCAGGAAAAAATTCTTCGTGTTCTAAAAACTCGCGCAGGAGAGATGGCAATGGAGTCATCTCTTTCAGGAAAAAGTTCTTGTTTCAACTAATTCGGTGCTTGAACGGAACAACCAAGTGCTTTGACAAGGTAATCATATATCTTTTCGTATATATAGTGTAAATAAATTTGTCTCTCAAGCCGAAAAAAGACGTTCACCATTTTGCTCTTGGACCGCTTATCAATCCGAGTGATCGCTCGGCATTAACGGGGAAAGATCCTTTATTACCAGAAAACACGAATCCAGACCACGAACCGAACCATGAACAACAAAATCCAATACCACAACTCGAAACTCAAACCAAAGGGAAGACTTGTCTCTGATGATTCGCTCGATCAAAAAATCAATCTGATTTAGCCAACAATGTGAGCAAGAAATCTCTGTAGTTTCCGTTAGTCCTTGCTCGGATTTTCTCGTCCAAAGACTCCCCGAAAAGCCGACGATATTCTTCGATCATCTCCTTCATGTCGGCGTGATCTGCTCTTGTAACTATCACTCTTGTCAGCCATTTCTTAGCTTTCTTGTCGGAGTCATTGCTCAAAGATGCATTCAATAACTAAACATAGAGAAAACGGTTAGAAATCCCGTTTCCGGGATGTGAAGATGGAATTTGAAAAGCAAGATGACTACATCGATGCATTTGAGTGAAATGTAAGGACGATTCCGAAGAATTACGAGAAACTGATCGTCAAACGAGGTTCCAAAAACGTTATGATTCTTGGTACCGTACCTTACTGAAATATGCCGAAGGTCTAAACAAACAAAGCAATGTGTCGCTTAAAACCGAGGAATCGGCTAAATCCTGAAAAACCAATCACAAAACCGTTGAATCTGTTGAAATAGAAATAAAATATGGAGAGTTGATATGATTGATAACAATTAAAGGCATAATATCAATTAAGAATAAAATAGATATCGTGTCAATTATATTTTTCCTTATTTGTTTCTCTCTATCTTTATTTTCTTGTTTCTTTCAATAATTTTTTCTATAAATATATGAATTATTTTCATTATAATCTAATCAGAAGAAGAGATGTAGTAATAAAAGTGTTTTCGTTCTTTTCTCTTTTGTTCTTTCTTTCTAATTTAATTTCCACATTTTATTTTTCAATAGAATCAAACACCATTTTTTATCCAAAACATAGTGAAATCATTTTCTCCGTATAAATAGAGAAAAATCAAAGAAAACCTCGTTAATCCTATCCGACGATTACCGCGGAAATGTCAGTGTCGGTGATTTCCATGTAATGTTTGTAGACATGTTTCAGATGGAGTTTGCTTCTTGTTGTCAGAATCCGTACAACCTCGTCGTTCTCGACGGCTTGTTCCCGATGCGAGGCGATCGCTTCCGCAAGAATCTCGGCCTCCAGCTTCGTAGCCGCTTCCGTAATCTTGCTCCCTTCGTATCTATAAGCGCTTACAAGCCCTACGAGAAGCTGTTTTCATAGAACATGACCAAGTGTTAAAATTCACTAGCATTCTTGAGTTTTCAACTTTCTTCACATCACATTGAATGATATTTCAAGTAAGCAATAATAAAAACAAGATTATCTAAACTCAAACGTTATAAAAATATACTAACAAATTAAATATTTATCAACCGATCCAATGTTTATATATATATATATATATGAAAATATTGGAAATTGGAAATTTGTAGAGAGATATTATATAATTTGTAGAGTTCATGTTACTGTGTATACTCTACAAAACAACAAGAATATGCAAAAACTAACATTGCTGTAAAATTTTCTGAAAACTAATACAGTTTATTTATTCAAATATAAAAACATTCTTTAAACTAATTAAACTCAAAACACAAATATAAATAATATATAAATGACTTTCAAGACTGAAAGAAAGTCTGTTTTTGTAAAGGATTTTTTTTATCCTTGTTAATTTCAAATAAAAAAAATAAACCAAATCTAAGAGTCGAATCTACAACTTTGATAAATGCATTTATGTTTTCAGAACCGGACCAGATGGCCGGTTTGAGCAATTCAACCGCGAACCGAATGTTTTTGCCCAGATTGGATATTAGCTAAAACCGGGAAGCGTATTGAATTTGAACCGTGGAAATCAGTCCAAACCCGGTTCTTCGGATCTTTTGTGAGAAAACCGAGTTAAAATAAATTTAAAAAATAAAATTTTCATATAAATAAACCAAGTTGTTAAAACTCTATCAAACTATAGCAAATAATTAAATACTACCAATTTTTTACGCATAGACGTAAATATGGCGAACCACATCAACGTACGATGACGGGAATTACCACTGAATTTACGTTTGTGCATAGAAAATTAATAATATTTGGCTAATTGGCATAATTTTAAAATTTTAAATATTTTAATATATAAATGTATTGCTACAAAGATTTTGCTTTTTTTCTTCTCATCCATAATAACAAGTTATGTTTACCTTACGTGTATAATTAATTTTTCAATTTTCTTATATATATATATATTATGGTTTTCTTCGTATACATACAATTAGTATTGTTATTGATAAAAGTATTTGATAGTGAGTTTTTTCATGTCAGATTATTGTTTCATAGTTTATTTTATATTGTTTTGTGAGTGTTTCTATGTTGCCATATTTTGTGTTTTAAAATCATAAAATATATTGAACTATAAACCACAGTCTAACCGACCTGACCGGTTCAACCGTGACCAATGACGTATCCGGTTCAACATTAGCAGATCTTGATCGGTTGGGTTTTGCAAAACTAGATACCTCCTATCGAATATCATATAACTCTATTCCAATTAATTTGACAAAAACTTTGAATAAATATAATTCCAAAATTTTAAAATATAAACTCATAATGAATCCAGAATTGAGAATAAAAACAGTCGAAAAATCAATTTTAAAACTAGTATTTTTTTAAGAATAAAAAATCAAACAACTTAAAAACTAAATATATTGTTTAAAAACATTTGAAAAATGATTAAATAAAAAATAAGTAAGTCTAAAATAAAAAAAATAAAAGATAAATCCGAAATTTCCGTGCATAAAAATAATTACAATCAAATTTTAAATTTGTAAAAAGAGAGAAGTAGAGAGAGAGAGAGAGAATCAAGTGAGGGATGGTGTAGGGGAATTAAGATAAACCTTGCGATGAGGGCCATGGATGTGAGAGGCGACGTCCTCTTCCATGGATTGGTCGAAGAGAGAGTGGTAAGCTCTACGAGCACCCAAGAGATGATGAGAAGAGCGCGTGCATGCAACTTCCACTATCACGTTGTAAGAATCTTCACCCTTTCTCAATGCTTTCTTCACCAGCCTCGCGTCTCTCTCCCACGCATGCATCGCCCACATCACCACCGCATTCTATACCGATCCAATAAGGTTTCGAAAATCAAAGTTTTGATATAAGTTCAAATATTTTTTCCGCTTCATCGACCAATTCATTAATTTATTACATTAGAAAAATTGGTAAAAATCACCTTTTAGATCTCAAAATTTTGTAAAACACTAAAAGTTTGAATGGTAATAGTAGGTTTTTGGTTATTGGATTTTGGTTTTTGTAAATAAAAAAAATTGTGTTTTTTAGCTTTTAGTTGATTTTTTCATCAAAAATAGTTTTCCAAACTAAAAACTAATTTTATAGAAAACCCAATTTGGATAGCTCAACCGGTGAAATGGGGACACAAAGCGTCTGTCCTGCCCCGAGTTCGAGTCTCAAGTTAGGGAATGAACGTATAATTCAAATCACATAGCTGATTCTCGATCCCGAGTCTGAATTTTGGCATATAATGTTCAGTTATAAAAAAAAAAATTATAGAAACATGACTGTCAATTTTTTTAGTTTTTGGATTTTAAAATCTGCAAAACCTCTTCCATTCTTCCATTCAAGAGCTAAAACTAGATGATCCTAGCCAAATCTATTTTTTAAATCGGTTTTCCATATAATTTAAATCTTTATAATGTTAAAGAAATACTTTTTTTTTCGAAATATCAGTCTAAAATAGTCATTTTATTTCTCTCGGTATCATTTAAAAATATTAGTCTAAGCGTGAATTTGAGATTAATTAGGTTCCTATGTATTAAATAATGTAAAGTAGGTCACACACGTGTGAATAAAATAGAGTGAACAGATGCGCAACATTTGCCCCCAAAAATATTATCAAATAAATAATATATGGTGAATTTCACTTCTTTTACTATATTTCAACGTAGAGATCATATAAATTGTATTGAAATCATCATCTTTCTGAACGCAGAGTTAACAAAATTTCGATTAATAAATTTTAGAATAATAATTTAAAAGGGATGATCAAATAAATTTAACTGGGAGATTTACCAAAAAAATAACTGGGGGGGGGGGG